ATATAGCCTCTTGACTAGTAGAACCTTGGATTTTTTGTTTTATGGTATTTCTGTGTGTAAGTGCTTGCCCTGCCACACCACTAACATTACATAAAAGCCAACAGCGTGTTCTACAGGGACAACACAAATCCAAAGGAGGCTGTTGGTCACAGTCATTATTTAATGCTGGTTACATCTGTATAAGGTAACAACAGCACATCCTATATGAGATTGTTCACCTGAAGACTGGTGTTGCAGAGAATAAATGCATACTTAATTGTTAGAACTTTGGCTTTTTACATTGGAAAGTATTCACCTTTAGAGAACCTTAAGCTGCTTCTTTAACATTTACTCTGTACCTTTAATCAAATGGTAAGGTTTTATATAACCATTAAACAAAAAAGTTGTGGTAAAAAAGTTTATGGTATATTGGTACATAAAGGCTTTTAGCCTTTTTTAATATAATTTCCCTCTAGATAATAACATGCAGTTGTTTTCTATCATTTCCCCAGACCCAGACCAAATGCTTTTAGGCAAAACTGGGGAGTACACATTTATTCTCTCACATTTCACTTAAGAAAAAAAATTGTTCTTTGTATAATGTAGTCATCATTTAGAGAACACATAAATCTTACACTGTTATTCCATTCATAGGGTTTTTTTTCCAAATTGCCATGCCAAATTAATCCCTGGTGCAATACTGTGTCACCAGTGAAGCTGTGCCACTTACTTGCTTGGACTCTTTAGTTTCAATTGAAAGATTTATCATTGCAGAGTTTCTTTGTCTTCCGTAGATGCATCCTTGGAAACCCTGACTGTTTTGCTGTTATTGTCTCCTTTATATACTTTATGCTTTCCTTCTTTTTTAATCATGGTTTCCTTTAATGGAACACACAGAAAGTTTTCTCATATAAGAAAAATAAAAATTCCACTCTGATTTATACCTGACTCATATAAATACAGTTATGCAACTTTATTTAGCTTTGTTGTGTTTATTACACTTAATTAAATAATTTGTTATTGATAATGAGTAATTTTGCAAGTTGTATTATAATAAAATGGAATAGCTTGTTCTTCCTCATACCAAGAATGTCCTAGGTGTTGGAATCATTGATGAATAGAGGTGGGGGTTTTAATTGCAAAGATCTAGGTTTGATGAATATTTTAAATACTTTGCCAGTAATACTGTACACAGAATATCCACAAGAGGGAACTGTTTTACATAGAGAGGAGCAATTTCCTTGCTGCTAAAACACTGTTTTCTGGAACCAAACCCTCCAGAATTATGTTGAGTTGGCATGATTGTGTCCTTGACTATGCTATATGGTAGCAACAGGAAAAATACAGGTAAGCACAGTGTTTGTTATCTTCTGTAAATAGTACTGTTAAATAAATTTTGAGCTCTTGTGTTGAAATATTAGATAGACAACTAATCTGAAAACTAATACATGGAAGTTTTCTGTTTGCTTGGAATAGATCTCTCCAGGAAACAGAGCTGGAAAATCCTGTTTAATCTGAAGGCAACACAAAATGCCATTGTTGCCTCAATAAATGAAGCAGGCTTTCTCAAATTTTGCTTTATAAAACCTACACTAGAAAGCAGGCCTTTTCTGATTCACAAAGGAGTAAGCTCAAATGGGATATTGTGAGGGATATTCATTCAAGGATCAGTTGTGTCTATGAATAGGTGAACAAAATACAAAGTTACGTACTTTGCTTTGTCTCTCACAGATAATTCCTCTTAAGCAAACTTTTCACTGGCAAGGTAAGTCTCACCAATTGATATCAATATTTACTTTTTAGTGTGAGTTTCATCATAAATATTTGGAGAACTGAGCCATATTTATGTAAATAAAAGTTTTGTTTATATAGAGAACAGAAAAGGTTTCCCCCTGGATATATAGTATGTATATAGCATATACACAGTATATGTAATGTTCGTGTTTGTTGGGTTATGAATAGTTCTTAACCATCAGAACTTAAAACAGCTTTTTACAAGTGATCACAATAAATCTCCTACCCTGTCTAAGTCTGTGTATAAATTTTGTGTGAACACGTTCAAATAAAATTATTTTAATATACAGACTATATTCTGTAGTGTTCTTGCTTTGCTTTAGTCCGAATTTTTCTTTAGGACTGTTCTTTGTGGGTACAGTGCTATGGGGATGATATTTTAGAAGTGCCTAATGATCCTGTTTGCATCTGGACTGCTCTTCAAACCGCTGTCTGCAGCACTGAGCTGCAGCAGTACACAGAGTCAAATAAATACCTTTGAACTCATACCTTCTGAATGCATAAAGCAAGAAAACATATTTTCAGGCTGCAGCACCTCTGTCAAATCTTCTGGGCTGTCTCAACAGCAAGAGAAGACATATGTCATGTCTGTGGCTTCAGAGACTCATCCCTTGTTATCTGCCAGATCAGAATATATAAGAAATTTCATCATGCAAAAGCCTTCCCTGGGATATGCTGTGCAGCTGCTCTTCATTGTCCCAGTCTTTCAAAGTGCACAGGGTTTGTGGTTTCTATTAGCTGTAAGAGTGCCTGTAAGTACCTGGCGCTTCTGAAGATCAGACATCAAGTGGCTGTGTTACGATGCTCCTGCCCTTGTTCCACTCCTGATGTTTGCTGATGGATAAAAGGATTCGTAGGTATGTGTGCAGCTGTGAAAAGGGTGCTGCTTGAGCACCGACCCGGGAATGTCGAGCAAATGACCATCAGGACTAGGTTCTGAGCCCAGGACCCAAAGTATGTGATCCTGTCAGAACACTACTTTGTGGCCCAGGTGGCTTTCTAGCTGTGGAGAGGGTTGGTAATGAAAAGACATGTGAGGGGGGCACTGCTGTGGCAGTGCAGTCTGGGGTTGCATGTGGCTGCTGTGACATGCAGTTTCTTTTCAATCTGACTTGTTTTCTGCATCTAGAAATCTTCAGCTGACTATCTGTTTTCCTCCAGGACAGAGCAATATAGTATATTTCTCACTTGTATACACCTCTATATTATTATCTTTCTCTATTCAGAGGCCTCTATTAAACGCCTCTTGAAAAAGGAGGCCTTCTCTTGAAGGAACAGACTGGAGTGAGACATTATGATAAACTCATGGAGCTAGACAAATGGTGGTGTTATTGCACGAGAAAATTGAGGGTGAGAGGGCTAGAGAGCCCCATAAAAAGCTTTGGGAAGTTATAAAAACTCATTACCATCACTTAAGTAGAAACAAAAACAAACCCCAGATAGATGCAGAAACAGAAACTACTAGTAGTAAAGGTTAAGAGATTACTATTTCATAATGGTGGCTCTCTGCTGGTGTAGCGACTAGATAAGATGGGGGAATGTCACGCACACAAAGGCTGCTGTATTTTACCCTTGGAAAGCTGTCAAGAGGATCTGCATAATACTTTGTACTCAGTGAGCAGACCATGTGCCAAATGGAGATTTTGATTTATATATAAATAAATACATCTACAGACATATAAATTCCTCTGCTTTTCAACGTGAATCCGAAAATAAGGTAGGAGACAACTAGTCAGATTTTCTTGCTGGCTTGCCCTCTCCCCTCCCTCCCCAAGCGTGTAATTTTAAATTGCTATTTATATTTCTAAGGGTTAATTTCAGGAATGTTCTTGGGATGCGCGGCAATTTACGGTTTGCGTTTGCGGAGCGCGTTCGCAGTACTTCCCCGTGTCAATTAAAGATAATCCACGAATGCTTTTAGCGGAAAAAACCCCCACGCCACGGTTCCCCGATGTTTATTTCACGCTCCCTTACCGCGTTTCCATGCCAGCCCCCCTCCCTCCCCCGCCGTGCGCATCCCCGGGCACCTGCTGCTGCAGCTCAACCTCCTCCCGCGGGCCCCGAGCGCGCCCCCCTGTCCCCCCTGCTCCCTTTCCCTGCCCCGCGGCTGCAGCCCCGGCCCCGAAGGCGCCGTTCCGGCCGGGCTGCGGAGGGGTCCCCGCGCTCGCCCATCGCAGCGGGGGAGGGATGCGGGAGATGGGATGCGGGAGATGCGCGCGGGGGCCCGGCGGGGGCCGGGGCCGTGACAGCGCCGTGCGTTGGCCGCTGCGTCATGACATCCTCCGAACCGGCCCCGCGCACGGCCGGCGCGGGGGGGCCGCCGCCGCCTGCCCCCGCCCCACCGCGGCTGCGGAGAGCGCGGAGAGCGCGGCGGCGATGGACGCGCCGGGGCCGGCGGGACTTGTTGGACCGGCAGCTCCCCGGCGCGGCCGGGCACCGCCTCGCCGCCACCTGTGAAGCGCCTCGGCGACACACAGCCCCCACCGCTCCCGCCTCGCCGTCCTCCGGAGCGGTCGCTCGGCGCCTCGGCGGCCCCGGGAGCGGGACCGAGCGGCCGCGGGGCGGGGAGCGCGGCGGGCGCTGCCCATGGGGCGCCGGGAGCCCGCCTGAGCCGGCGCCCCCCACCCGCGGCGGCAGCGGCAGCGCGGCACCCCCGGCCGGCCCGGCACCCCCGCCCCGCGGGGCCGTGGATGCGCCCCCGGAGGGGCCGCGGCTGCAGGAGCGGGGCCGTCGCGTCCCCCGGCGGCCGATAGGGAGGGGCGGGAGCCGGCGGCGCCGCTGCGCGTGTGGGAGCAACAGCCTGAGCGACAGCCGGGCCCTGGAGAGAGCTCCCGAAGGATGGGCGAGGAGGCGGCGGCAGCGCACGCACAGATGGGCCAGCGGAGGATGAATTAGGAGCCACAGGAGGCTGCTACCGGCACCGAGGGGGGAAGAGGAGAGGAAGGGGCTGGACTTGGAAGAGGAGGAGGAGGAGGGTGCGCGGGGGGGACTGAGTATCGCTAATAACAAGTTAAAGACTAATAACAATAATAACAGACCACCTCCGGGAGGATCCGCCGCGGAGGCTGAGTGAGGGATCCCCGCTGAGGGCAGCGGGGTCGCAGCGCTGGGTATCTTGGAGAGACGCTCCGAGGCATCAGTTTGTGGTGGTGGTGGATGATTTTTTTGGGGTGGGCGGGGTGGGGGCTGTGTATGCGGGAGAAGGAAGGGGTGGGAATCTGAGGAGGAGACTATATTTTTATTATTATTTTTAATTTTTTAAACATTATTTTCACCGTACAACGAGGACGCTCGGAATTCACCGGCTGACGGCTCCCGAGAGGGACCCGGGAATTGTGCGGTCGCTTTTCTTCACCTGCTCTTTTTTTTTTTTTTCTTTGTTTTGTTTTGTTTGTTTGTTTTGATTGGGGGCTTTTTATTTTTTATTACTCTTCTTATCCGTTTCCCGCTGAGCAGCGGCGGCGGCAGCAGCAGCAATATGGCTGGTGATGGGTTTTTTGGGGGGCGCTGGCGGCGGGAGGAGCTCTCGGAAGCCCCTGCGCGCCCGGCTCGCTGTTAGCTATGGCAAATGGCAGCGGCGGCGGCTCCTACCCGGGCGGCAGCGGCGGCGGCGGCGGCATTAGAATGAGTAACAATATCAACGCCAACAATCTCAACACAGACTCGTCCTCCTCCCCCGTCAATGTGCCCAAGATGGATGCGCTCATCATCCCGGTGACCATGGAGGTGCCCTGCGATAGCCGCGGACAGCGCATGTGGTGGGCTTTCCTCGCCTCATCCATGGTTACTTTCTTTGGGGGACTATTTATCATCCTGCTGTGGAGGACCCTCAAGTACCTGTGGACTGTCTGCTGCCACTGCGGGGTCAAAAACAAGGTAACTCCCCCTCCCTTTCCCCTTCTGCTGCCGGTGATGGTTTGGTGCGGTGCTGTTGGTGAGGAGGAGTAGTAGTAGGAGCCCAGCCTTGTAGACCAGGACACCTAGGCGAGGTGGCACTGGAGTGGACGCCGAAGGGCTATCGTTGGATGGCAGTGTGCTGTCTGCTCTTGTGGTACGGTTGCCATGGGCTGTTGGGAGCCGTGGGGAGTGTGGCTGGAGGGTGTGAGGTGCTGGGTGCAGTCCTGAGGCGTGTCCCTGTTCCCCCCATTCTGTTCCACATAGGGACTCATTCGTTTTCATCTGGTGGCACGAAAGTTGCACCTGGTGTTCCCTCACTCTCAGTGAGGCACATGCTGATGTAGTGGTACGGTGTGGATCAGAAGTTTATTTGCACCCCCGGGACCGCATATGATGGCGGGGTAGGAGCTTGCCTTTGCTGATCTGAATTCTCAGTTCCCTTGTGGAATGAGAAACTTTGAGAAATTTACCTTTTCAATTTTGCCACTCAAGTAAATATTTTTAAAGCTAGCTGACAATCTTTGATGCTTCTGTTTGTTAAATTAAACGTGGCTATCTAGAGGTATTCAGTACATTCATAACACACTAGATCAGTATTCTCTTAACCTAAGTGTGAAGTCTTTGAGGCAACCTGACTGCCTCTTCGATTTTTATATATTCCCAGCTGGAAGAAAGCATGGTATGTGAAGGAAGTTCAGCTCCTGCTTTGAAGGGTCTCTTTTCAAACCAAAGCTAAGACTTGCTCGGGTCCACACTTTAGTTTTTGATTAAAACAAATGGGATAGAAAGTGTTAAGACTCTGTATTGTGAAAGTGGATTTTGACAGACCCCAAAATAGACCGGCAGCTGGAGTTTCTCCCCTTCCCTTTTCACATTTTTTGAATTACAAACGGAATAATATCTGCTTCAGTTATTCCTGGCACACAGACACCCACAAAAACACACACACCTTTTAATATATGGTTGCTAGGTTGCTGGCTTGCTTTGACATACAGTGAGCTGTCTCCCCTTTTCTCCTGTCCCCTCCCCCCTAAACACACTTGATACAGCACATAACCCTGCTGTACGAAGGGTCCAGCATTTAGGGGAAACCAGAAACAAAGTTAGAGCCTGAGAAGTTAAGGTACTTGTTTGTTGTGTAGTTTGGATTGCCTAAATGAACCTCCACATTCCAGTTGGAAGTTAAACTATTACAGTGAACTTGGCCTATGTATGGAAGGAGTGGTTGCTAGAGTTAAGCAATAAAAGCTTTTAAGTCAACCTTAAGCATCAGGAATCCTACCAGGCAGTACTACTTCTCCATTGGCAATTTTTATTTCATTTCAAACCAAACCTGAACTTTCTTAGAGAGATGTCAGCCAGGTATGATGACACAGCTGTAATGAATTTGTGATAATAAGATACCAGTTCCTACAACAGTAAAAGGCAGTTTTCAAGAAAGGGTGAGTAGTTAAGACTTACCTTTGGTTTTTTTGAGTATTTAGCATTTTCTTCTCCATGGAATGAGACAAATCTACAGGGGCTATCAGGGGTCTGGATGAAAAAGAAAATTCTTCAAGTTATTACCTCATGCTTCTTTCCTTGAGAGAATGAAAAGTTACAGACTTGTACACAGACTTCTTTCATGTTGTGTCTTAGTGGGTATTTTTGATCAGATAATTCATTAGTGGGAGAACAGTTAAAGCAATCAGTGATTTCTTAACTGGTATAGAAAGGCATATCGCAATTGTCTTTAAAACCTCTTAGTCTAAATGTGTCAGTTTGGTAAGTAACAGGCATCATCGAGGGGTTCCAACACTTCCAGTCTGAATACTTTCACATACTATTGCTGTGTCAGGTTGTAAGACTTGAGTTTATTTCATTTTTGAGACCTCAAGTAGTTCTCTGAACGTCATTCCCTGGGGCGGGAGGATAAAGGACTCTGCAGGTAGGGGGAGATATATGTCTCTTTTTAGATCCTATTTGTTCCACTTGTAAGGGTTTCCAAGACTCTGGTGAAGAAGAACTTTCAAGGGCTGATCCTGCATTCATTACGTGATAAAATGGGGAATTGGAGGGAATTCTCTGTATGCAAGAAGTAACTAGTTATTGCAAAACACTTTTCTAGTATTTAGGGTGTAAAGGGTAACTGAAGTAACAGCTGGAAATGTCTTAAACTTTGCTTTTATCAAGCACATGCTTTGTGCTGCATGGTGACTTGGGAAAGGCTGCCGAGGCTGCCGGTGAAAAATGTGAATTCTTACATATGCTATGTCGACTCTATTGGACCTGCTAGCAAAAGCAATTTTAGAAGAAGTAGCTCCTCCTACTGTGGGATTGAAGAAGTTTTCTGCATATTAGGACCTTTCCTTCCCTGTGCTGCCTCTTCTTCTGCTCCACAGGTTGCAGTGGAGTTGAGTTATCCAGCATCGTCTCATGAGCTACATAAAAAGCAGTCCCAGTGAGAGAACCAAAAGGAATCTTTCTCATGTCTACTTTTTGTGTCTTCTTATTGAATAATTCACATATATATGTGAATAATTCAGAGTTACTGTGCTAACACTCATGTCCATGTGTTATTGCAAGGAATTGCAAAAAGTTTCATTTTTTTCTCTCTGCTATATTTTAAGCTTAACATTGTATTCCATGGATTTGTCAGTGATTGTCAACTTGACTTTATTATGTAACACTTTTTAATGACTACATAGAAGTGTCTAGGATGTGGTTTGTTGTGTTGTTTTTCCCTCTTTAACTCATTCAATTTAAGGTTGAAATTTAAAAACATGATATAAACAGTTTAACAATTTCTGGTATGAAATTTCAATACGATTTTTTCTTGGAGATAGGAAAATCAAGATGCTGTAAGTCAAGGATATGCAAACTGCTAACAGAATGATCAACATTTCCTCTTAAAGTTCCATGTCTAATTTATGTAATTGTATATGAATAGAACATTACTCTTAATCATGTACTAAAAATGATTGCTGAGGTTTTAGGACTTTTGTGCTCCACACTTGCTTTGTGAGTTGACATTTTAAAAAAACTGTCAAAAAAAATGTAAATCTTGACCTGCGTTGTCAGTGTTTCATGTAATATGTCAGTCATTACAATTGAAGCTCTTGTATTCCTTTATTTAATATGTTATATAATTTTAGATGCAATTTTTCAAAATTAGCTACAGTCCAATGGCAAAGACTTAACAAAGGCTGTTTTTCTCCTCAGTGTTTGCATCTACATTTTTAGTGATGCCTAGATATTGTTAAAGAACTTGTCTTGTCGTTGTTTTTTCTTTATCCCTTGACCAACTCATTTCTGTTTGTGTATGAAAAGTAGAATGTGAGATTGAACTTCATTGGGCTTTTCTCTAATACCGTTAGTTGCTCTTGTTTCTGGCAGTAGCAGAAAAATAAAATAAATATGCACGGTGACATACCCAGTAGACATAGAGGCTAAATGTTTATTATACAGTCTGTAGTTCTTTTGATTATATGGATCTCCCTCTGCATTTTCTATGCTCTTGAAGGGCATTTTCTACTGACATTATCTGATACCATATTTTGGCTTTGAACAAACTCTAAAGCAGGAAGAGCGAGCAGTGGAATGCGAGAGCACAAGTTTGGGGCTCCTGGAGCTGGCCAGTGCAGAATGAAGTGGGATTTGTACCCTTCTGAAGAGTGTGATACCAGACCCTTTATCACTGCCCCTTGGTTCCCCAGTGAGTGATACCTCTTATGGACCTTATGTCATCGAGGCTCTAGCAGGTACAGTGTATCCTTACTGCAATGCTTTCAGTGTTTTGAAGAGCTTTCCTTCCCCACAGCCCAGGACTTGTACACATATAAAATGAAATTATGTTATGATTATGGATAGCAGTTGTTAGCCTGAATTTACAAGCTATAATAATTTTCTTTGACATTGGTCTACATATTTTTGAAATCTAATAAATTATACAGATCTGGTCAGTAGAAACCAAGCAACGTTCTCATTTGTTTTGCATAGAAAAATTCTGTTTTTACTGGAAATACAATATTTGCAGAAGTCTTCTTTGAAAAGTTAAAAAAAATAACCCAGAACTCCAAAGCCTGAGAAAATTTGTAAATGGAAAAATTAAAGTTTTCCTTAAAAGAGGCAGCAGTCATACCAAGCTGGCTCTCGTATATACTAGGTTGGTGATTTCCAAGGAGTACCCACATAAACATCCTCTCCAAATAAATAAACAAATTTGAGGCATGACATATTGAGAAAAGCAGGAGAGTACCCTGGAAGACACATGTGGACATGTAATACAGGGGATCCATTCGTTTAGATCTGCACGTGGAAACCTCACCTTGACTCTCTTGAAGATGTTCCGAGCAGCAGCGTATGATGAACAACTGGAAGGCTCAAGGGATTAGCAGTGGACTGTAATGCATTTTGCTTGTTAGTCACATGCACAGCCTGGCTCAGTCATCCCTGTCTCATGGCTATCAGGTGGTCTGTGCACAATTATTCTGCGCGAGTCCCCCCGGACAGGTTGCCAGTCGAGAGATGGCCATGGTGGAGAGGTCAAGTTCTGAGAGAAAAGGTAGTTGCAGCTTTTTGCAGATGCTGTTTCTACAAGTGAAAAAAGGCACCAATATGGAGAGGTGTACGCTGTTGTTTTCCATGCTGTGAAAAGGAAGATACTTTTGGCTCTCTGGAGCTCATAATGGATTTCACATTTTATAAACACATGCTAAAATTGGTTATGCGTGCAGAAAAGAAAAGGTATAGACAAGGATTTAAGCTGTAAAACAAACATTCTCTACCTAAATGTTATTTGGGTACAGCGTCATACTTATTTTCAAGGCTTTGCAACACATACATTTAAGGAGAAAATCTGCATTCAAAAAGAATATGCAACTCTCACAAGTTTGCAAATCTGTAAATGCTGGTTGAAAACTATTAGATTTCACATTTTTTTCCAGTTTAGCTCAATAGAAGAAATGCCTATAATAGCAAACAGAAAGCTTTTAAGTAAT